CAGAGTTCTCACCTTTCAAGGACTTGTTGACAAGATCGGCTTCTACCTAAAAAGAAGGCTAACGCATAATAAGTGAAATCAAACGGGTTTATTTAAGCCAGGACTTAGGACAAAGTGCTCAGAGAAACAGACTGATCTCTCCAAGATGTGATCATGGAAATGGTGACCAAGAGAGCTGGTTTATGTAACAGAATGGCAGCAAGTTGTTTGTCAAGACTAACATCGGTCCATTTCAAATAATACAAGCAGTTCATTGGCTGTGCCTTATTTTTTTTTTAAGAATTTGTTTTATTTAACTTTATTTATTTGTTTAAATTTGACCAGAGAGGGACAGAGAGAGAGAGAGAGCTGCCAGGACTGGAACTGCGGTCAGCCATGTGGGAGTCCAGCACCCTTAACCACCATGCCACCTGCTCCCCGCAAGCCTTAATTACTATAGCCAAAGTCTGGCCCTTCCTTTGGGCCATTAAAATTTAAATAGCCCTTCCAAGGCAGTTTAATAAGACCTTTTACTTTAGTTCAGCTATTGATTTTCAGTTGGAGAATTTCCATATTTTCTTCAACCGAAGGGGAAACTGAGGGCTCAGCTCTTTTAGGAGGTCACTGCTTGGTTTTAGTGTCAAAAGACAAACAAACAGCAAATTTCAATATCTTAGTTGACTTTGTGATTCTAGAATGAAGCAACACATCACCTCCTAAAATAGAGTGCACGTTCCCGTGAGGTGAGCTGAAGGAAACAGAAACAAAGAACAGGGAGCAGATTGCCATTTCATTTCTTTTCTTCTTCTGCTGGACGGTGTGTGCTCTCACCAGAGAGAAACAGAGAAAGCGCCTTTTCAGGGAAATGGTCACACTGCATGCCCTTCTCCTCCATCTCTCTCTCCTCCTGGGATTTGGGGCATGTGCACACATGCTCCGGGCGTGTTTCTCAAGGCTCTGGCTCCAGAACTCAAACTGTGTGGTTGGCCACGTGGGATCTGGCTCCCTTAACCACCAGACCATGGGACCAGCCCAAACTGGATTTCGATCGCACGTAATTCAACCTGTTGGTTTGCTGAATAGAAGTCCCAGGTAGCCACTGTTTGGTTGGCGACCATGGTAAATGAGTGTAAATCAAGTTCTAAACCAATGAAAGCTCCTTGTCCTTATGAGACTAGGTGGGGAGGCAGAGTTCTCACCTTTCAAGGACTTGTTGACAAGATCGGCTTCTACCTAAAAAGAAGGCTAACGCATAATAAGTGAAATCAAACGGGTTTATTTAAGCCAGGACTTAGGACAAAGTGCTCAGAGAAACAGACTGATCTCTCCAAGATGTGATCATGGAAATGGTGACCAAGAGAGCTGGTTTATGTAACAGAATGGCAGCAAGTTGTTTGTCAAGACTAACATCGGTCCATTTCAAATAATACAAGCAGTTCATTGGCTGTGCCTTATTTTTTTTTTTAAGAATTTGTTTTATTTAACTTTATTTATTTGTTTAAATTTGACCAGAGAGGGACAGAGAGAGAGAGAGAGCTGCCAGGACTGGAACTGCGGTCAGCCATGTGGGAGTCCAGCACCCTTAACCACCATGCCACCTGCTAGCCGCAAGCCTTATTTTTTACATCACAAACTTAAGGACACAGCGATTAAGAAAGGGCAGGGATCACCTTATAACATCTGTAAGCTTTTGTAATGTCATAGTTTGTTCACTGTAAATCTAGGCATGATTTTTAGATATTAACCTGATGGGTATGGAGCATAAGCAAAACCTCAGACTCACATTAACTTGGGCCTTTAAAATTTAAATGGACAAGGGACCATCGGATGGCATAATGGTTATGTTGCTGGACTGCCACGTAGTCGACCGTGGTTCAAGTCCCAGACTGGGCTGCTTAAAATTCACGCCGGGCGCATGTGCATATGTGCCCAAAATCCCAAGAGGAGACTGGAGGAGAAGGGATTCCAGTGTGGCCATCCCTCCTTGGGAGCGATTTCTTGCTTTCTGTCTCTCTCCGTCTCTCCAGCAAGTGCTAGTACCCTATAGCAAAAAACACTCTTAAAAAAAAAAGAAATGGACTAGGCCAGCCCATAGCCTAGGGGTTAAAGAGACTGTATCCCACATGGCCAACTCTGGTTTGAATCCTGGCCTCACAGCTTGAAAAACACACCAGGTGCATGTGCATGCATGCCCCGAGTACTGACAGGTTGGAGAAATGAGGTTGGCGAAATGGAGGAAAGGGAATTTCAGCACAAACAAGCCCCTTTGTGGAGTTCTTTCTCTTTCTGTCTCTGGTAAGCACACATGCCCTCTGGCAATGAACAAAAACTAAAACAGATGTTGAATTCCACAGATTGCTCTGAACTTTTTTTTTCATACGAGGGAAGTCACTAAGATTCTTACTTTGCCACCTCCCAGTCCAGGTGCTGGACTGCCAGGCCTTCATGGGCACTTTCCACTGAACCTGGAAAGTTAGAGTCAGAATTCACTAGCTGTAAACAGAAACCCAACAACTGGTTTGATTTTATTTTGGTTTATTTGTTTTTTTTTTTCTTCCATAAGTGAGAGAGAGAGAGAGAGAGGCAACAGCCTCAACAGGGTCCTGACAACACCTCCCACCCCTAGCTTCAGATCCTAGGCAGATGCATGCCCAGTGTACTCTGGGAGATCTCCGGATTTGAACTGTGAACCTTCCCATGGGGGGTTGCCTCACACAGTGTGGCATTTTACTGCTGCATCACCATCTGCCTCCTGAGAATTTATTGGCCTTTGAAAGTGAAAAATCCAGAGGGAGGTAGACTTCCCATGTAGCTGGGTTTAGGGATTCAACAACCTCAAGATTAAGCCTGTCACTGGGACCAGCAGATGGTTTAATGGTTACATCACTAGACTCTCATGTAGTTGACTGTGGTTTGAGTCCTCGACCTGGTAGCTTAAAGCTCACAGTGGGCACTTGTGAGGATCCACTCAAAACCCTGAGAGGAGAATGAAGGAGAAGGGATTGTGGTGTGGCCATCCCTCCTGGGGGGTGATTTCTCGCTTTGTTTCTGCCTTTCCAGCAAGTGTGTGTGCCCTATAGCAAAAATCTCTTTCCAAAAAAAAAAAAAAAGAAAAGATGAAGCCTGTCACCATGTCTCTCTCTCTCTCCCCACCTCTCCCTGCTGCCTCCTGTACTGGCTTTCTTCCAAGTAGATTCCTCCACTTTCTGGCAAGCACCACTCTGTTTTTCCTTTGGCAAGCCCAGAGATGTTTCCCAGGTGGTAAAGCTTGGGAAACAAGCCTGCGAGGTAGGAATTGGGGCACACAGTCCCTTGAGGGGTGTGTCACCATGACCATGAGAAGCCACCTCAGCAGTTCTATAGGTGTGTCAGTGTCTGCAGAGGAGGGAGTGTTGACTGGCAATACCTTAGAGTCCCACGATTCTTGGGTGTTTCTGCCCCAGCACACCTGAGGGAACCCCATGGCAGGGGTGGTTCACTGTAACCCTTTGAGCCGATGCCCCAAATAATTTAGATACATCTTCTTTCACTTGAGAATAACCTCTGATCCAGTTCCCAAACTTTGTAAGTGGGGAAACTGAGGCCTAGGGAGGAGAAGTTCTCTGCCTTCATTTGGGTCAGGTAGTGTTCATTGGAGAGTGAGGCCAGGAGGTGGGAGAGGGAGTGGAAAGAGCAAAGCAGTGAGGAAGAAAGCTAGAGTAGGACGTGTCACTGCTCGCGGCAACAAGGACTTTCTCCACCAGCCCTTCCGAGAAGACGCAGGTGCCTCTCAGAGCTGCCCAGCTGAGGGAACGAGAGACCAGTGCTCCAGCCCCGCATGGTTGAGCTCTGTGCCCTCTAGGCTGTGCTTGCCCGGACTGAGGAAGTTCCCGAGCAGACAGCAAGGAGACCCCTTAGCAACCACCTCCGCAGCTGCAACTGCAGCCAGGGGTGGGCTGACACGGAGTGACCTGGGACTCTAAAGTTGTCTGTTACAATGGCTGCACAGCCAGAAGCACACCTGGGATGAGACCGCAGGACCCCCATTCCTAGCCCGTGCTTGCTCACTTCCCCAGTGAGAGCTTTGGTGGCCTCCCCTCTGTGACGCTCACTCTCGCCTCCTTGGCCCTAAAGCCTAAGTCAGAGCAGTCTCCCTATCAGCCCCTGTCTTGCCAGAGCCTCTAAATGGCAGAGGTCTCCTCTCCAATTTACAGGGCTACTCACCTGTGCTCCCCTCTGCCCTGCTTGTCCATCGGCAGAAGCTCCATATGGTCTCAGGTACAGCAGGGCAGAGAGAGTGTCCGTCCGGACCCCCAACAGCTTTGACCTTTCCTGTTGAGAAGCTGTCTGATGCCACGCCATTCCCCAGGAACCATGCCCGTTTAACTTAGGGGTTGCTTCACCCTGAAGGCCCAGACCCAAGTCTGACTGCCTGGCAGGGTGGCATCGGAGAGTGAAACCTGACCTGGGCCCCATGTGGAGCAGAGGGACTTCCTTGTTCAACTGCAGGTGCGACATTCTGCTTGCACCCGAGCAGCCTATGGACTAACAGGAGCCTCCTGGCCACCTGTCCTCGGGCCTCCATCTGTCCTCCCAGGTCCCTTTCCTCTTCTTTGACCATCAGGCCCACCAGGGAGCCCAGAAGTCTGAGACTTTGGTTCCAGCTCTGAGGCCAAGCCTGGGCTTTGCTGCTTCCTCAGGAAGGACCCCATGACCTCTTGCTTGTTCAGGAGGCAGGGGCTGGGGGTGTAGGTGTGGTCCCACCTTGTAAGATCTGTCTGTGTAGGTGGGCTCTCCCGGATTTCCCTGGGGCATCTCGTCCTTCCCAGGGTGGGGTGATCTTGCCCCCATTCTGCTGCCTGGGGGTTAAACTTGAGATTGGGAGAAGGTCAAGGTGGTGATGGGAGGCATCTAGGCTTACAAAAAGATCCGGAGAAAACCTAGTCCCGTGTTAGCACTCAACTTCCCAGCTGGGCATGCCGGGCCCTGGGCTGTGGGGAGGTCCCGCCTGGTGCCGTCGCCCATAGTGCCTCTCCCCACAGTTCCAAAGAGGAGAATCGCAGTGCCCCTCTGCCCATCGGAGGCCTCAGCTACATTCAGGGCCGCACCAGAATGCGCCTCATCAGCAAGACCGTGGGCCGGTGCCTGGATGCCACAGCACAGAGGGTTCCAGACAAAGACGCCTTGATCGTTCTCCAGGAAAACGTCAGGCTGACTTTTGCCCAGCTCAAAGAAGAGGTGGGTTCGGGCCTTGAACACTCAGATTAGGCAGGAACTAGCTCCCAAGCTGCCCTGGCTGGCAGAGCCAGGCGCAGGGGCACCTGGTTATGGGGCAGTGGGCTGGGGCTGCCTGAGGACCCCAAGGGGTAGCAGTGGAAGGGGACAGGACTGAGGCAGAGGTGCCCATGCCTCCTGCCTCAGCAGCTCCTGGGCACTTGTTCCCTGTGCGAGCTCTCAGCTCCACCGCAGCCCCTCTGAGGCCTGGGAATCTGCCCATTCTTCTGCTCCTGATGACTCCGATGCCACTCAAGGAGGGGGTCATGGTGCCTTCCTCCTGCCCTCACTCCACCTCTCATCCCCGTGTGTTTCTACCAGGTGGATAAAGCTGCAGCTGGCCTCCTGAGCATTGGCCTCTGCAGGGGTGACCGGCTGGGCATGTGGGGCCCCAACTCCTACGCATGGGTGCTCATGCAGCTGGCCACCGCCCAGGCTGGCATCATTCTGGTGAGGAGGGGCTTGCCTGGCACCGCTGGGCATGCGGGGGAGGGGAATGCCCTCAGGGGGAGGCGACTAGCCCCTTGGCCCCAGACCCAAGTCAGGGCTTGGCTGGTTTCAGACCAGGTCGTGCTTTCTCCTGAGGCCCATGACAGAGGCCGGGGGTGGGAGAGGGCTGCGAGGTGCTGCCTCAGTGCCCTCCCGAGGGTAGAGGGGCAGCAGGAGGACAGGGTCTGCCCAGGACATGGACATACCCTCTCCATTTATGCCAGGTGTCTGTGAACCCAGCCTACCAGGCCATGGAACTGGAGTACGTCCTCAGGAAGGTGAGGGGAGGGACCCAGCCAGCAACTGCCACAGGGGTTGACAGGGAGGGGAGGGGACGCACAGGCGGGTGGTAGGCAGGATGTCCTTAGGCGGGGCGTGTTTCCATGGAGAGGGTGGTTGGTTACTCAGGCTGGCGTGAGTGTTGGGGATGGTGCACATGCATGCACTAAACGTGCGTATGCGTCTCCTGGTATGTGATGCCTATGCACCTCGGCGTTTGATGTGTGTATGTCTTGGGGGCTGGACCGTGTATGTATTTGTCTTGGAGTACGATGCACGTGTGTAGAAGTCAGTGCATGCGTGTGCCACTGTAGCAGCAGTACATGTGTGTGAGAGAGAGCACCCAGTTAGTGAGGATCCCCCACAGCCCTAGGCTGGGCTTCCTGCTGTGGGCTGCAAAGCCCTGGTGTTCCCCAAGCAGTTCAGGACCCAGCAATACTACAACATCCTGAAGCAGATCTGTCCAGAGCTGGAGCAGGCCCAGCCGGGGGCTTTGAAGAGTCAGAGGTGGGTGTGCCCCAGGTTAGGGGGTACATGACACAGCATCCCTGCCTCCTTCATCCCCTCCTCCGCCCCAGGGTTGGGGCAGCTCCTGCCTCTCACCCTCCTCCCTACCCTCAGGCTCCCGGATCTGACCACAGTGATCTCGGTGGACGACCCTTTGCCGGGGACCCTGCTCCTGGATGAAGTAGTGGCCGCTGGCAGCACAGAGCAGCAGCTGGCCCAGCTCCGCTACACCCAGCAGTTCCTGTCCTGCCACGACCCCATCAACATCCAGTTCACCTCGGTAGGACACAGGCGGACACTTGCCCTCTGCCTTATGACCCTTCCCCGGGGAGGGGGAGACAGCAAAGAGCTCAAGAGAGTAGGCACTCGCTCCTGAAGCAGACCCCAGCTGCCCTCTCTGCCCTGGGGCACACTGGTGTCTGTCACACGTCCCCCTTCCCAGCCTCTGGTCCCCCACAGCTCAGACCTGGCAGACCCGAACCCTCATTTAGCTGGTGGGGAACCTGAGGCCCGGGCGCACACCCTAGTGGGCACAGGCTTTCTGAGCCACCTGTGGGGGGCGTGAGAGCACCGACCTTTTCTTTAGCGTTTCTGGATCCTTGCACCTGGCATTTTGGGAATGTACTAAATGAACAAGATGGATCTGGAGCAGCAATCCCAAGCTCCTGGCTCCCAGCCCAGGGATCTTCCAGTTAACAGCCGGGGGCGAGGAGGCTCAGCCATCACCTGCTTGTCTTGTCAGGGGACGACAGGCAGCCCCAAGGGGGCCACGCTTTCCCATTACAACATTGTCAACAACTCCAACATGATAGGGGAGCGCCTGAGACTGGGCAAAAAGGTAAGGCGTACTGTACCCAGGGAAGGCTTCCTGGCAGCCAAAGGTGGGCTGCAGAGAGCAGTAGCTCGGGCAGGGGTGGGGGGCAGTGGCTGGGTGGCCCCTGCAGGCCTGAGGAACTGGCTTCTGGTCACGATGGGCCCAGCCTCCTGTCTCCATATGCAGAAACCAGAGGAGTCACGTGTGATCCTGCCCAGCCCTCTGTACCACTGCCTGGGCTCCGTGGGGGGCACGATGGTGTGCGTGATGCACGGTGCCACCCTCATCCTGTCTTCTCCAATCTTCGATGGCAAGAAGGCACTGGAGGCCGTCAGCAAAGAGAGGTGGGCATTGGCTGTCAGGCTACCCATGGGCCGACGAGACCCTCCTCTTACTCCCTCCTGGGCCCTAACCCCTTTCCTCCCTCCAGCCAGGAGACCTGGGGACTGGGCTGGTGGGGATGCCTACCAACCTCAAGAGCTTCTCCTGCCTGTCACCACAGCTTTGGCCTTGGTCCTTGCTGTAGGTTCATGGCGGGGTGGGTGAGTGGAGGGAGTTCCCTTCCACCTCCAAGCCTAATTTTGAGACCCCCCATCTGTACAGAGGCTCCTTCCTGTATGGCACCCCCACCATGTTCGTGGACATTCTGAACCAGCCAGACTTCTCCAGTTACGACATCTCGACCATGTGTGGAGGTGGGGTGGGGCCAAGGACAGCTAGGTGTGGGGAGGGGGCTGCTTGCGCCCAGGAAGGGCCCAGGTGCACGAGATTTGCATCTGGTCTTACTTAGGGGGCAGGAAGGGCACTGTAGAAACGTGGGTGGGAGGGAGGCAAAGCCCCAGCACCTCTGGATGCCAGTCCAGGGCCAGCTGCCAGACACGGAATCAGGCCCAGGTCAGGGGAGGGAAGGGAATGAGCTTCCTTCGAACGAGTGGGGCCTGGAGAAGCAGGGAGCTGTGTCATCCCTCTCTTTGATTCAGGTGTGATTGCTGGGTCCCCTGCACCCCCAGAGCTGATCCGAGCCATCATCAACAAGTTGAATATGAGGGATCTGGTGGTGAGTAGTGGCTGGGGTTGGGCTGTGTGTGGGGGACAGACAGGCTTGGGGGAAAACGATGGGCGAATGAGTGTGGGGATGAGCTGAGCTGGATCGCCAAGGGAGAGCCCCCCTCAGTCAGCCTTCCTTCCAGAAAGCAAATGGGAGCAGACAGCCTGGTTTCATCAGCACCCGGCAGTTCACGACGCCAGACGACAAGAGCAGATATACACACATAAACTTATATTTATAGAAATCTGGAGAAGAAAGGCGGCACGGGAGGGCGTGCGGCAAAGCACCCGTGTCCTGCTAGAACATACGTCCTGGCCAGCGGGGGCTGGCAGAGTTGGGGCCTGGGCTTGCTTTTTGGAAGCGTAGGTGAGCCGGAATCTGATACTTGTTTCCAAACAGCAGGGTAAGAAGAGTACAGGAAGGATGATTCTGGAAGGGTGGCCATCCTGATGACCACCCAGGTCTGGTTCTGATGGATGTGAGCGTCTGGGCAGTGCTTCTCTTAGAGGAGCCATGGTGGTGGCAGTGGGGCCCACAGAGGCTGGGGAGGGCCCCGCGTCCTCCCCAGACACTGCCAGGTGGAACTGGGCTGCTGGTGGAGTGCCGAGGCCCCTGCTAGGACGTGTCTGGGTGCGGGCAGCGCTGTGCGTCGGCAGAGGCTGTGGGGAGAAGGTGGGTGGTGGCAAGGCCAGTAGTCAGTCTCTCCAGCAGAAGGCAGAGGCCAGTCACCAGGACTGGCAGGGTCAGAACCTGTGGCAAGGCAAGGATTGATGTCAGGATGCCAGCAGCCCAGACGATGGCTGCAAAGAATGGTGGGGTCTTAGGTGTTGTCTCTTGTTCCCTTAGAGGGGGGCCCTACTCTCCCCTTTCTTTCCCTGCAAAATCAGAGGATCTGTCTGGCCCTCCCTTTTTGAGATAGGTGGTGTTATTTCCAGCTCACATGCTGGAATCTCCAGAGAGGAGTGGGGGACCTGCTCACCCAGCCCCCATCTGTTTTTTTTTTTTTGCCGGAGGGCATTGGGCTCACCAAAGAGAGGAAGAAAAGACAAAGTGTTCCCTATTGGGTCATACCACAACCCATTTTTCCCCATCTGGATCTAGGCGTGCATGTACACCTGGCTGGCATGTTTTTCAAGCTGCTGGGGCCAATATTTGAACCTTGATTGGTCACATGGGACCTGCCTCCCAGTACACAGGACGTAGCCAACGCGGTGCGGGGCTGGCCCCACCCCACCTGTTTAATGGCGGCTGGCTTTCTTGGACCTCTTGGTGGGAAACTTGCAGCTGCGGAAGGCTTCCGTGTCACGGATGTGCTGGCCCCTGAACTTGGCGGGCGAGGCACAGGTGGCATCTGGACGGGAGGCCTTGGCTTCCAGCCACCTGGAGAGACAGAGTGTTGCTGAGGTTGGAGAAGGGATGTGGGAGTGAGCTATGGGACAGGGGTGGCCTTGGTCCCAGGAGAGTCAGGAGCTAGCGCCTTCGTTTTATGAATGGGGAAACCGAGGCTCCAAGGCCCCGCTGGCCTATTAGATAGTGGATCTGGGATGTATGCCCAGGACGTCTCACTGCAGGGTCAGCGTGTCTCCACTCTATCAACAGCATGGCTCTGGGGGTGGTGGTGGGGGGCGCTTCTCACCTCCGAAGTCCCCGGAGCTGGCAGGTACACTTCCAGGGGTTATTGGTGAGGGTGAGGGTTTCCAGGCTCTCAAAGGGGAAGTTGGAGGGCAACTGGTTCAGGCGGTTGTTCTCCAGATGGACGTGTTTCAGCGTGGTTACACCCAGGAAGGCACCATCCGAGATCTGGGGAGTGAGGGGCGTGAGTGAGTGCTCCAGCCCCAGCGTCCAGCCTCTCCCAGCTCCATTGCTCCAGAGGGGAGGGTCCTTCCCTGGACACGGACATGGGCCCCTTTTGGAGTTTCACAATTTTCAAAGCCATATGACCAAGGTGTCTGCGATGACCTAGTCCCCCTCCTTTTGAGATAGGTGGTACTGTTTCCAAAATGCAGATGGGAAAATGGAAAAAGTGTAGCCCTCTGTCCAGGGTCACACCAGCGAGTCAACAGTAGCCGCAGGGCCACACCCAGCTCCTCTTCCCCAGCACCACACTCCCTGCACAAACATTGGACTGGGAGAGCAGCCAGAGTGTGGCCCCAGCAGCCCAGCCTGGCACACGGTGAACCTGGTCAGTGTGGTGCGATGGGCAGTGGGCCATGCTACCCACAGCCCCAGGGTGCTGGGACACCCCCCAGCTCTGTCCTCACTGTTCCCTCACCTCCTGCCAGACACTATTTGTGGAGCCACCGTGGTGGAGACATGGGCCAGGCTGGACGGCTCCAGAGGAAATGTTCTATTGGTGCCCACATGTTGGCCCAGGCGCCATAGTTCCTGCCTGGCCTCCCCTGCCCCAAGTCAGCCCCTGATACATGGCTCTGCTGCCCATTGCAAGACCGCACTGGTGCTGGTGGGCCACGGGAACTTCAGCTTGAGCTGGGGAGGGGCTGGGGCTGCAGAAGGCCAGGCTCAGGCAGGCTCCATCCACCAGGACTAAGAGTGGCTACTGCCAGGCAGGGTTCTGCCCTCCTCTCCAAGCCTGTTCCCTCTCCTGTGGCCCAAGGGAGGGTGTGAAGTTATCTAGTAACCAGATCCATTCTCTACTTTAGCCTGGTCCCTGCCCAAACCTAGCCAAAGCCCCTATGCCACGATTTTTCAGAAGGAAAGAATTACACAATGGTCCAGGGTGGCCCCACCTGGCCATCCAGGACATCCCAGGGGAGGAAGGACTGAGTGAGGATGCAGATAGGAGGTGGGTCTGGGACTGGAGTAGGCAGAGGGCAGTCTGCGGTCTGGGTAACTGTGAGGTACAGACCACCTTCCCTTTCAGACGGGTCTGGTGTCACCGCACCATGCCTGCAGCCCGGGGAAGCCTCTGGGTCCCCTCAGGTGAAATGGACCTGAGAGTGCAGTGGATTGTGTGTGTGTGTGTGTGTGTACGGGCAGGGCCATCTGCCGGGGCCTCTGTGGGGCATGGAGGAGGTCTTCCTCAGGTATCTACTCGCCAGCCCCCCCCCCCCCCCCAATCCACCTTAGCACATACACAGCCCCGACTAGGAACAGGGTCTCTTTGTGGGCCTGATCTGCCCGACTCCTCTGGAAGGCTCCTCAATAAACAAACCTTCCTTTATGGGGTGGTAGGTTTAGTGGAGACAGGAAAAACAGCAGAGGAGGGGCAGAAGGCCCAACAGGAAGAGGCGGCTGCTGCTCATGGTGGGGGCTTTGGGAACATCGGATATGCCTCCTGGGGGGCTGTGAGCGGGGAGAGGGCACCCTGCTTCCCAGGAGGGCAGTGGCTGAGCTAGGCGGTGGTCAGGGTTCAGGTGGGAATGTGACAAGGTGAGGGGCAGAGGGCAGAGCTCCTTGCCTTGCAGATGGGGCTGGAGGGACAGGGAATGGGGGGCTGGTGCCCAGCGGTAGCCCCGGCTCCCGTGGCCTCCAGGAAGGGACGATGGAGCCAGGGCACAGCTCAGCAGCCAGGAGCTCACCTTCTCCAGGTTGGTGTTGTCCAGCCAGAGGGTCTCCAGGTACCTGCCAAAGGACTGGAAGGCATTGTCCGGGATGCTCTTCAGGGGGTTGTGGGACAGCTTCAGCTCCTCCACCACCCGCAGCTTGCCCAGAGCGGCAGAGGGGTAGCTGGACAGCTGGTTCCTGTCCAGGTAGAACTTGGCCAGGTTCTCCACATCGTCCAGGGCACCGGGCTGCAGGGAACTGAGCGCGTTCTCGGACAGGTAGAGCCAGCGCAGGTCCTTGGCGCCCTGGAAGGCGCCGGCGCGCAGCTCCCGGATCTTGTTGTTGTTGAGCTGCAGGATGAAGAGGTTGACCAGCGGGGAGAGCAGCCCGCGGGGCAGCTCGGTCACCTTGTTGTGGTCCAGGTAGAGGTAGGTGAGCTCCGTCAGGTCGTCGAAGGCGCCGGCGCGCAGCACGCGGATGTCGTTGTGGGACAGGTACAGGTAGATGAGCTGCTTGAGGCCGCGGAAGGCGCCGGCGGCCACCTCGCGGATCTGGCAGTGCTGCAGGTGCAGCGACACGAGGTTCGGCATGGCCCGGAACGAGTTGGCGGCCAGCACCGGGAAGTTGTTACGCTGTAGGTTGAGCAGCTTCGTCTTCTCGGATACTTTGGGGATCTTCTGCAGCCCCACCTTGTCGCAGATGACGTGCTGCAGGTCGCCGTGGCAGTGGCAGTTCTGGGGGCAGGCGGCCAGCGCCGGCAGTAGGCCCGCCAGGAGGCCGAGGCTGAATAGGAACCTCGGCGCTCGGGTCTCCCGCCCTATTTATACGGTGGCCCTGACCACAGCCTGCGGCCCGAGCCAGCTCCTACGTGGAGCATCAAGGCCACCGGGCTTAACTCCCTCGCGTCCAGAGATGTACCCCCCGCCCCCGACGGGGAGGGGGAGCTGGCGACAGGCATGGGGGCCAGGAGTGTGGCCCCCAGCTCCAGCCCCTCACTCCCTGCTCTCAAATGCTGCTTTTCTCCCTACTTCCTTTCCCCGGGCTTTTCTTGGAGCCCTTGGGGAAAATGGGTGTGTCTAGAACCCCAAGTTACACCGCAGAAGGGAGGGGGACGTTCCCTGAACTTATTTGTTTGCTCAAGTTTGAGCCCCACCTTCCCGTACACTCGGCCGGGTGCCCTCTAAGGGAGGAAGACGGGCGGGACAGCCGGACGCGCGTCTCGCCGCGGTCGCCAGCGGGCGGCGCTTTAATGGGGCTCTTGTGCGGCGCCGGCGGAGCGTGAGAGCCGCTCTGGCGGGCTCCCGCTTCTGGCTAGACACTCCACGGCCAACCCTAGGGAGCCGGCCGCTCCTTCCCCATCCTTGTGCTGGCTCCTGGCCCCTCTCTCCCAGCCCTGGGCTTGCGTTTCTGTCTCCTGCACCCCATCCCCATTCTCCCCCCAGGGACAGTGAGGCAGAAAAGTGGGAGCTGAGGGCGTGATCTGCGGGAGTGACAGACACACCTGGAGACCGCTGGCCCTGAAGGAGCAGTCCAACCATCCCGCTCCATAAGCTCCCCCAGATTTCCCCATTCCCTCACGCCCACCCCAGTAGTCAAGACGCACCCAGAGGGGTCTCAGGGTGTTGCCCGAGTGGCGCCGAGGTGTGCTTGGCAGAGGCACCGTCCTCAGGCAGTGGCCCCAGGGCTATTAGGTTGCCCGAGGCAGGGGGGGGTGTCCTGCCTACAGGGTCTAGGCCGGGACCCCTGTGGCCTCCAGGCACTGGGTTCTGCGGGCAGCCTCGGCCCAGCCGCCAGATTTCTGCTGCCCATTTGCCAGCCACGGTGTCCGAATTCCTGTGGCAAGGGGAGGGTGAGTGGACAGGGTCACAGCTCTGCCCAGGGTGAGCCCCCGGCCTTCTGGCATGGGGACTGGTCCCCGTTGGGGGAGGGAGGAACCAGGCACCGGCTGAGCTAGAACCACATGGTTGACCTAGGGGAAGATAGGCAGGGGTGGACAAAGGTCTGGTATCTTCGCAGAGTGGAGGGGACCTGAAATACAGGGTAGCTAGCCCCCTTCCCCCAATGCATGGGTGGGGGCCTGGTCTCCAGCTTGCCCTTCTCCCGAACCTCTCAGTCCCTTGCCTCTAGAGTGGGGGTCGTGCTTGGCCTAGAACATTCTCTGCTGATATTTAGGCTCCTCCAAGGCTGGCTTCTGGTTTTTTGGTTGCTCGGGATGTTCCAACCACTGGAGGGGCGGCTGCCACTGCCTTTTTCAATCCCTGCTTTTGGCTGTATTTTTATTTTGATGGAAATAAACTCACAGGAAACTTCAGTGCTTGGGGGCACTCACCCCAAGGCCAGGCACTTGTCCCGGATTTCAAGGGGGCTGGGAAGGCTGTGCCTATGCCACTCCCAGCTGGGCCAAGGCAGGCTGGCCTTCTCATCAAATTTATGGGGACTTCAGCGTGCAAGGGAGGGCAGGGAACATTGTCGCCTGAAATCAGTAAGTGGGGCTAAGGCAGCCTGGGGACAGAGGAGAAAGTCTGGGCTGTTGGTAATGCTGGAAGCCACAGGCACGTGGCCACTCGCGGGAAATGGGAGACAGAGGGCCCCTTGGCTAGAACAGTAGCTTCCCTGCCCTCCATTTTATTTCAGAGCCAGGGCCCCTGCAAGATATAGCCCGATCAGTATCCTAGTGCCTCGCCCGACCCCCTGACCTCTACCAACAACGTCTCTGCTCCCCACACTCAGCCCCCCTCACTGGCCTGTTTTGTGCGTTCCTTCCTGTTCCCCAGGGAAGCTCACCCCATCCCCCTGCACGCCCTTTCTGGACCCTGTAGGTTGCTTATGGAACTACAGAGAACAGTCCTGTGACCTTCATGAGCTTCCCTGAAGACACGGTGGAGCAGAAGGCAGAGAGTGTGGGCAGAATCATGCCTCACACGGAGGTGAGCCCCTGACCAAGACCCCCAGGCCCCTCTTCCCACCACTCAACTGGGGTGCACCCGCCCCAGACACTTGCTGCTTTCTGTTAGAGATCAGACAGCTCACTGAGAGCCCCTCAGCTGCGGGGCATCCTGAGCCTGGCGAAGCTCTCCCCGTGGGCCGGAGCATGAAACGGGGAGAGCTGGGACAGTGGCCATGAGCAGCTGCCAGCCGAACTTCTCCGCAGCCTCCCTTCCTGTCTGAGGTGTGTTTTTGCCAGGAGCATGAAACGGGGAGAGCTGGGACAGTGGCCATGAGCACCTCCCAGCCGAACTTCTCCGCAGCCTCCCTTCCTGTCTGAGGTGTGTTTTTGCCAAGCCCACTGTCTGTTTCAGGGCAGCCAGGGTAGCCTCAAAGAGGAGCCAGAGCACAGAGATTTTTTTCCTACACAGCTCCTCTGCCCCTGAGACCCCTTCTCCCCCCCACGCCGTGCACTCAGGCAGAGTTCCTCTCCTTGCTTGGAGTAAACACTTCCTCTCCCAAGTGGCCTGTCCCTTTGGGGGCCCATTGCACCTCAGTGGCTTCCCCAGAGCACATCTTAATGTCAAATTCCCAGCCATGACTCTTTTCCTGCTCTATGCTGGTATTTTAGGCCAGCTGGCACCTGCTTTCCCCTGTCCCTGGTGGCCTTGGCCCTGTGGGCCCAAACAGTGGCTTTCCCTGAGGCTAACTGCTGCCCTAGTGCAGATCCCCCGCCTTCCCTCCTCCCCGACCCCTGAGCACTACCCATTCCTCCGGCATTCTGCCAGCCTTACTGAGATGCCCACCCTGCAGGGATAACGTGCCCCCATTTCACAGGTGCACACATTGAGGCCCGCGGTGAAGCTTTCCTTCGCATGTCATGGGCCGCGGCTCACTTCTCTACTAGGCTTTCTGGCTCTGCTGCTCCTGCTCACAGGCCAGGCCACACCACCCTCTTCAGTTTCTTTTTGTGCTGCTTAGCGGGAGGTTGTGCAGTCTCTAATCCTTCAGTTAATGAGTCCTCCACAGGCCTCCTTCTCCCTGGCAGCTCGCTGCCCAGTGTCCTCAACACCTCTGGCCTGGGCCTCAGCTGTTCTTCCATGTCCAGCTCAGGCTGACCAGTGGTGGGTCTCCTCTGGCCTTTGCTTCCCTTCCCTGGGCAGAGCTAGGGGGCCTCATTATTGGGTGGAGAGACAACAAAACTGCCCATTCCCGAGGGCCCCCTATCCTGAAGCAAGAAGGTGGGAGGCCCCAACTGGAAGCTGTTCTGTTCCAGGCTAAGATCGTGAATGTGGAGGACGGGAAGCTGCTAGAGCTGAACACACCTGGAGAGCTGTGCATCCGAGGGTACTGCGTCATGCTGGGCTACTGGGGCGAGCCTGAGAAGACCCAGGAAGCCGTCGGTCAGGACAAGTGGTACTGGACAGGGTGAGGAGGCAGCGTCCTGGGGAAGGGGGGTGGTATCGGGCTGCTGAGGGAGGCTGGGGCTCCTGAGGCTGTGCTGGGAGGACATGGCTGTCAAGAGGAGCCCTCACATCCCAGAGACTTAATTTCCAAAACATGTACAGTGGGGGTAATCATATGTAGCATGGAGGCAAAGCCACTAGGCCGGCATCCCCAGCTCAGAGCCAAGGTTCAGTTGCTCATGTCAGCTCAGCGGATTCCAGTTACACGAGCACTATCCTAGATGCGGGTGAGCCAGTGGAAAGTAAGAGGAGAAGGATCCTGCTTCTACTGCCCGCACGTCTGGTGGAGGACGACACATAATTTCAGACATCAATAAACACGACAAGGAGGATAAAATAGAGGAAGTAGCTGTGCTGGGGAGGGGGGTTTGAGCTGAGACCTGGATGATAAAAAGAAGCCAGCCAAGAAAAACCTCCATACAGATATGTTGAGAGAGAGAGAATATTAGAGGGACTGGTTTGTTTTTCACTGTCTCCTCTATTAGACTGTAAGTTTCAGGGAAGGTGTCTGTTCCTGCTGTGTTTCCCAGAGTTGAGAGCAGTGGAAGACACACAGTCGGTGCTCCAGAAATGTTTGAAAAGTGGGACCAGTGGATGGTATAATGGTTTTCACTAGACTCCCACATACTTGACCGCGGTCTGAGTCCCAGACCTAGTGGCTTAAAACTCACATTGGGCACATGTGTGCGCATGCCCAAAATCCCAAGAGGAGAATGGAGGAGAAGGGATTGCAGTGTGGCCATCCCCCCTAGGAGGTCATTTTGACTTTCTGACACTCTCTGTCTCTCCAGGGAGCTCACACACCTTAGAGCAAAAATATCTCTCTTAAAAAAAAAAAAAAAATTGATGAGTGAGTGAGCCAGCTGGATGAAGCAGAGGTAAGAGGCCATCTCTGGTTTCTTTCTCACAGAGACATCGCCACGATGGACGAGCAGGGCTTCTGCAAGATTGTGGGCCGCTCCAAGGACATGATCATCCGGGGCGGTGAGAACATCTACCCTGCAGAGCTCGAGGACTTCTTTCACACACACCCGCAGGTGCAGGAAGTGCAGGTGAGTGCCCAGACCAGGTGAGCCCAGGTGAGACCCCCCCCCAGGGCAGGAAACATGTATAAAGATGTCTGATATTTATTTTATTTCTGGCCCTGGAAGGTGGTGGGAGTGAAGGATGACCGGATGGGAGAAGAGATTTGTGCCTGCATTCGGCTGAAGAGTGGAGAGGAGACTACGGCCGAGGAGATCAAAGCTTTCTGCAAGGGGAAGGTGGGAGCCTCAGCCTACCCCCGAGTGGATGTAGTTCACTTCTTCACTACCTCTGCCTGCCAACCCGCCGGGTGGGGGCTGCTGTGTCCTTGATGACCCTGACCTTGCCCAGACTCATCATGCTTTATCTCACCTCCCTCTGATGCAGATCTCTCACTTCAAGATTCCTCGCTACGTCGTGTTTGTCACAAACTACCCCCTCACCATCTCAGGAAAGGTGTGTAAGCTGGAGAAGCCTAGGGTCTGGGGGCCCAGATGCAGAAGGGAGGTGGGCCCACCTGTGCCTGCCTCAGTGATAGGCAAAAGAATCCATCAAGAGGCTGGCGACATAGTGACCTAAATCTGGCATGCCCTGGACTTGTACAGTTTGAGCACTAAAAGCCGGAGAAACCTGCCAGTTCCATGCAAACCAAGACAGCTGGTCACCCTAGATGACAGAGGCCCCACAACTGACTCTCGCCTGTTTCTCCTCTAGGTCCAGAAATTCAAACTTCGGGAGCAGATGGAGCGACATCTAAATCTGTGAATAAAGGGGGAGGGCGGCCCTCTGCGGCCCACCTCCTGCCTCTCCCACATTCCCTTTGTCTGTCTTTGTGATTGGGCATAAACTCTGTTTTCTTTGGCTGGTCTCTTGCTGATGTGTTCCATTGGCAGCTACTATGGGATGGAGGAGGAAGAAAACAAGAGAAACTAGCATTTGCAGACTTGCCGTTCCATGTCAGCAGTGGTGACAAGCATGCCAGTGTACATTACCCTCTTAACTGCACCCTGTCCCTTTGAAATGCCAACCCAGTGATTTGCTTTTTTTTTTTTTTTTTTTTTTTTTTTTCTTCACTTTTCCCCTTTCCTTTCCTTTTTTATTTTAATTTGTCAGCGAGAGGGGCTGGCAGGTGCTATGGTGATTAAGGGCACTGGACTCCCACGTGGCTGATCACAGTTTGAGTCCTGGACCTGGCGGCTTGCTTTCTCACTTTTCCTCTCTCTTTCTCTCTCTTTCTGTTCCTCTCTGGTCAAATTAAAATAAATAAACAAACAGACAAATACAGTTAAATGAAATAATTCTTTAAACAAATATATTGACAGAGAGAGTAGAGAGAAGGAGAAAGCACCACCAGTGCAGAAAGGTCATTCTACAATCCCTTCTCCTCCATTTCTCCATCCTGTTGGAATCTGTGGCATACACCGGTACCTGGCAGATCCAAATTAAAACCATGTGGGACCCAACTCCCTTAACCACCGAGCCATGGAACCAGCCTGCCTATTTTGTCTTTAGGGTAGACTCATTTATTGTTGTCAGATTAGTCAAGCAAGAAGTAGTCTTTTTTTTTTTTTTTTTTTTATTTTAAAGAGTTTGAGTGAGGGATAGAGAAAAACAGCAACCTCTACAGGGTCTTAGTGTCATGGCCTCTCCCCCAACCTTCATGGGCCAGCATATGCCCAGTGGACTCAGGATGGTCTCTGAACTTGAACTGTGAACTTTCCCTCTCAGAGTATCACATTTTATTGTCATGTTGTTGTCTGACCCCAGTATTCCTTTTTAATAATAGTTTTATTGAGACATAATTCACATACTACCTAATGATTCATTTAATGTGTGCTATTGAGGGGTTTTTTAGTGTAGTTACAGATCTGTGCAACCATTACCGAGGTCATTTCAAACATTATCTTCATTTCACAAACAAACACAGCAGGTGGCAGAGTGGTTAAGGTTCTAGGCTCCCACAGTGCCAACTGCAGTTCGAATCCTGGAATTGGCGGCTTGCTTTCTCACTTTCTCTCTCCCTCTCTCTCTCTCTCTCTGTCTCTGGTGAGCATGCATGTCCTAGAGCAAATGTTAAAAATATTACAAAGTAAGATTAAATACATACTTCTTTTTTAAAAAAGAAACCCTACCTTTTTTTTTTTTTTAATTTACCAGAGGGTGTGTGTGCACTTGCTAGAGAGAGAGAGAGAGAGAGAGAGAGAGAGGATGAAAGCAACCCCCCATGGGGCATGATCACGCCAGTCTCTTCACTTCTCCACCCTGCGGGGATTTGGGGCATGCCAGCATACATACAGACACACCTGGTATGTTTTTCAAGCCACCACATCCAGGACTCAATTCACAGGGTAGGCCATGTGGAATCTGGCTCCCTTAACCCCCAGAGCATGGGCCAGTCCCCCACACCACATCACCCCTTATTTTCTATTCTCCTATTCTCCCAAATCAGGTCCATTTTTATTTTTTGATCAATGAATCTGATGCTTCCTGATATGCAGAGCTATCTTTTTAAAAGGGCCATAGCTTGGGCTGGCAGTTGGCGTGGTGGTTAAGGGCACTGGACTCCCACACGGCAGACCACAGTTTGAGTCCCAGGCCTGATGGCTTGCTTTCTCACTTTCTCTCTCTCACTCTTGCTCTCACACTCTGTCTCTCTCTGGTCAAATTAATATGAAATAAATGAATAAATAAATAAAGTTAAGTAAAAGAATTCTTTTTATTTTTTTTTAGATTGTTCCAAGAAATAATAAACAGCTGGTTCCAAAAGGCAGTTTCCTAGTCATGGAGACAGAAACCTCCTCCTGCCTGCAAGGCCTGCCTCCCAGCCTGCCTGTTCCCAGTAGCAGCCTCCTCTTCACTGAGAAATGAGCACACATTTAGGGTACACTAGGTGCTTTCACATACATCTCTTAACTTTATCCCCCAAGCCCTATGAAATAGGCATTGGCCCCTCTTCAAAAATGATGAAGCTGGCACTCAGGGAGGTTCTGTGTCTTGCCCAAGGTCACATGGCCGCAATTAGAACCCAGCTGTCTGTGAGGCAGGTTCGCTGTGCACTGGTCACTAACGGAATCCCGAGTCTGGTGAGCAGAACGTCCCCCGACACAAGTTACACGAGCAGGTGCATGGCTCCCAGCCTCGGATTCATTCCAACCCAGTTTCCCAAGGCTGGGGGAAAGCTGCCTGGGCAGGCCATCCTCTGTGAAGGCCGCACTGGCAGTTCAGTTGAGGGGACCCGTATCCCTGGAGTCTCAGACCCTGGGGCAACATGACATGCTGAGCTAAACCACTGAAGGATGGTTTGCTTCTCAGAATATTGTATCCCCACCACATTTCCCAACTAGTCTTGAGAGCTGCAGGCTATTAAAGAAAGTGGGGAGACCCAGGGTGGCCCAAGGACAGCAGAACTGTCCTGTATGACTTGATTCTAAAGCTCATCACCTTGCCACGACAAGGGACAGTGCTTCAGACGCCTGGTTTCCCAGCCCTTCACCTGTATCCTGTCGCTGCTACATAGACCTCCAACTCTCCTCCCAGCAGGTGCCAGGGTCGTCCTGACCAGGGTGATGAGAAAACCTCCTGGGAACCAGCAGTTAGCATAATGGCTATGTCGCTGGACTCCCACGTAGTCGACCGCGGTTCGTGTCCTGGACCCGGTGGCTTAAAACTCACGCTGGGCGCGTGTGCGTGGGTGCCCAAGATCCCGAGAGGAGAATGGAGGAGAGGGGATTGCGGCGTGACCATTCCCCCTGGGGGGTGATTTCTCGCTTTCTGTCTCTACGTCTCTGTCTGGCGAGCGCATGCGCCCTATCGCGAAAACCTCTCAAAAAAAAAAAAAAAACCACCAACCTCCTCAACCCACGAAGCAATTCCCCCTGGGATTCCTTGCTCCTTCAAGATCTAGCCCAAGCGCCCTCTCCTCCCTCACGGACTCCCCTGGCTCTTAGAACAGACCGCCCTTACAACACTGAGCACACTGGCCTGGTGTTCTGCAGGGCATGGGATTAATGCGTGTTGTCTGGCCTATTGGTTTGCCCCTCTCCTGTCGGACTGCAGCCTGGTCATACACACCCAGATGTCCCCAGCGCCCAACCCCGAGCCAGGCACATATACATGAAGGAACTGAATGAACGAACTAAGAGCTCCTAAGAGTCGGGGCGGGGAACTCGCCGCGGTACGTGACGCCAAAGTCTGGCAGCCCGCCGCGCGTCCTTGGAAGGACAGACAGGCGGCTGCTGTGAGCTCATCCGAGCCCAGCAGGTGGCGCCGCAGACCCGCGGCCGGGTCGGCGAGTCGTCGGACGCGGCGCGCAATCACGCAACCCCGCTTCCTTCCGCCCAGGCGGCCCACCCGGCCCGCACCGCACGCACCATGCGCCCTGGGCGCCTTTAGGCTCGGGTTCGCGCCCCACGCCGCCTTGGGTGCCATGGCTGTCCCCGGGTCTCGGGCCTGCAGCTGGGCGGCAGTGGCCAAAGCGGTTTGTGAGCGCCGCCTCGCGGAGGGCGCGGGAGGGTCCCCGAGTCCTGAGCCGGCCAGCCTGCGCGCCGCGCTTTACGTGCACGTGAGTGCGGGGGTGGGGGCCGTGGCGATCCGAAACCCAGGTGGAGGCTTGTCCCATTGTGAACCCACCTACGGTCTTTGCCTCTCCCGGGGGAGATCCGGGTTGCAACGCGGTGCGCTGGCAGGGAAGTGTCTTGGTCTGGAGAGCTAAAGCGTTTGAGACTCATTCACTCGAGTGGGTGACTTGGACCGGGCGATTTCCCTTCTGAGCCTCAGCTTTTTCATACTGAAGAGGGCTTAATAACCCCCGTGCCACCTGCCTTGGGTCGTCGTGTGGCCTAGATGTCATAGCTACTGTTGACTGACTTTGGGATGGAGATGGGAACACGTGCGTGCAACGGAACCCTGGAAGGGGCCCCGGGAACACAGAATCCGTCCTCACCCTACACATACCCTCACCCCGTCCTGTCCCCAGTGGCCTTACTGTGAGAAGCGCTGCAGTTACTGCAACTTCAACAAGTACATCCCCCGCGGCCTGCAGGAGGCTGCCATGCGGAGCTGCCTGGTAACCGAGGCTCAGACGCTGCTGCGGCTAAGCGGGGTGCACCGGTGGGTAGCGGGCTGCAGACAGGGTCTAGGGGTGGTGAGGACAGGTGTAGGCATTCCAAGAGCACTCCCCAGGTCTCATTTTCCCCATGCTCTTCCCCCAGGGTGGAGTCTGTGTTTTTTGGCGGGGGGACCCCCAGCCTGGCTAGTCCCCACACAGTGGCTGCTGTCCTGGAGGCCGTGTCACAGGCTACCCACCTGCCTGCAGACTCTGAAGTCACATTGGAGGCTAATCCCACTTCAGCCCCAGGCTCCAAGCTGGCAGCGTTCGGGGCAGCTGGGGTCAACAGGTTATCCATCGGCCTTCAGGTAACAAGTCTCACTCCACGTTCTCCCGGCCTGTCAGTGCTGACTCCCTCTGGCCAGATTCGTTCACTGGGTAAACATGTATTGAGTTCCTCTGAGAGGTAATGCCCAGTACCCAGCAGCCCCTGTGGTAACTCTTCCGTTAAGTACTTCATTGTCTGCAGCTGTACTAGACCATAAGCTCCACAAAGCAGGGAGCGTAGGGCCTGGCACATAGTAGGTGCTCAAAAAAGATGTGTTACCTGATGGGAGACACACGAGGAGGCAGGCCCACAGTCAGATCATTGCAGCATGGTAAATGGGTTTCCGCAAACAAACGACCAACCTGGAGGCCAGTTCAGTCTGATGAAATCATGGAAGGTTTCCTGGAGGAGGTGATGTTTGAATGAGGAGGAGAAGGAGATCACCAGGTAAGGGTGTAGGAGGAAAAGACACAGGATATGGAAGAGGCTTGCATGTGTTGGGGGAGCAGTGAGTCATTCCTCGTGACTAAAGACGTTGGAGACAGAGGTGCAATGTAGGGTCCAAGAGCCTTCAGCACTGTTAAGGAGTCCGGGTTTCTAATCATGCGGGAGCCATGGACGTTTTTCAGTAAGCAGAAACCTCAGAAGTGGGCCTCTGGTACTCCCTGCCTTCCAGCACATGCCACTTATCATAGGGTGTAGCATAGTGGGCTTTGTGCTGGTGGGACATACCGAAAGAACACATCACTTCTGGGATGTTCTTACTCAGAATGTGTGTCCTCAATCAGGAAAACCTAAACGAAGGAGCTTTAATTATTGTGATGAGCACAGGTAGGAACAGCTGGCCTGCACTCTGCACCATGTCAATAACATGAAAGACAGAGGCTGAACATCTGGGGTGGAGGTGACAAAAGACACAATGACAACTGAAGGCAGCGTGTGGCCCTGGAGCGGGTGGAAGGAGGAAGTGGCTGCCGTAAGAAGGTCAGACGGTCAGACGAGTGGCCCGATTTGCATATGACCGGTAGATGATGGCTCTGTATCGGTGGTACGTTTCCTGAACTCTGTAGTCGGATTATGGTTACATAAGTGAATGTCCTTGCTCTTGGGACATACACATGTGAGTACTTAGGGGCTGTAAGTAGGGGGGATGGTATCATTTGCGTACTGTGCTGTTGAATGAAGGCACGTAGCATGGGCTTGAAATGTTACTGTGTTTGTGTGTGTGCGTGTGTGTTTTTGAGAGGTTTTTGCTATAGGGCACATGCACTCGCCAGAGAAACAGAGACACAGAAAGCAAGAAATCACCCTCCAGGGAGGATGGCCATACCGCAATCCCTTCTCCTCCCTTCTCCTCTCGGGATTTTAGGCATGCACACACATGCACCTGGTGTGAGTTTTAAGCCACTGGGTCCGGGACTTGAACTGCGGTCAACTACATGGGAGTCCAGTGACATAGCCTTTATGCTAACTGCTGGTCTCGAAATGTTACTGTGTTTAATGAACGTACCTAGCTTCGCGTGTGCGTGGGACGGTGCAGACACAGGCTGTTTCCCTCATCTCAAGTCCTTTTGGATGGTGCTGTACCTTATCCACTCTTAAAGGATTCGGCATAATAACAAATCCCTGTGCATGCTAGAAACAGACCAAGTAAATATGGTCAAATGTTGGTTTTGAATCTGTTCTAGATGGTGTTTCGTGTGCTTTCAACTTTCCCATAGTTTTGAATGACTTCAAAAGAAAAAGTAAAGTGAAAACTGGTTGGCTTTAAATGTATTTGTTTTATTCATGAGAGAGAGCACATGCTTTCATGAGACAGCCACCCTCCAGGTCTCATCATGGTGTGATCCCCTTCTGCCAGCCTTCCAGTGCCTCGGGATCTTGGGCGTGCGTATTTTCAGGTCTACTTCAGATCCAAACCCTGGTAGGCCTTGTGGCTTCTGACACTGCAGTTCAGTATGCTGCTGCCTCCGTGCCACGTGCCACTGAGGCTGGGCTGACTGCTGGCTTTAGAGTCAGACGGCCCTAAACTCTAGGTCTGACTTTGCAATTGTATAGCCTTAGTTGAGTTCCTTAATGTCTCTGAACCTCAGTTTTCTATCTGTAAAATGGAGCTAATGTTGGAGGGCTGTGAGAATTAAATTGGACACTGTGTAAGAATCCTTGGTGCACAGTGGCCCTTCAGTGTGGCCTTCGGCCGTTGCCACCTACCCCCCCACACTCCCCATTCCCCACCCCCTATCCCCTCGCTGGGTACTGCATTTTTGTTTCTCTGCCTACAATGAGGTGAAAGTGCCCCTCTCCTGAGCGAGCCTGTGTGCTCACCCTGACCTGTGTGCTCTTTCTCCTCAGTCCCTGGACGACCATGAGCTCCAGCTGCTGGGGCGGACGCACTCGGCCCGCGATGCTCTGCGGACGCTGGCGGAGGCCCGGCGACTCTTCCCAGGGCGCGTGTCTGTGGACCTGATGCTGGGGCTGCCCGCTCAGCAGGTGGGGCCATGGGTCCGGCAGCTGCGGGAACTGCTGCACCACTGTGATGACCACCTCTCCCTATACCAGCTGACCCTGGAGCGGGGCACCGCGCTGTTCACCCAGGTGCAGCAGGGCACCCTTCCTGCGCCTGACCCAGAGCTCGCTGCGGAGATGTACCAGCAGGGCCGGGCAATGCTTCGGGAGGCTGGCTTCCGCCAGTATGAGGTCTCCAACTTTGCCCGGAATGTAAGTCGTGGGGCTGGTGGCCAGAAATGGAGGCCTGGTAGACAGAGATATGACCAAGGGGTTGTGGTCCCTGCTGGGGACCTGAGACAGTGGGCATTCTAACCAGGTGCTCCTCACTGATTGGTCAGGAGAACTACCCGGCTGTTCTCTCTGCACTGTCTCCTCCTTCCCACAGGGGGCGCTCAGCACCCACAATTGGACTTACTGGCAGTGCGGTCAGTACCTTGGCATTGGGCCTGGTGAGTCCTCTGTGAACTTCAGAAGGGATGACTCAGGAGAGGAATTTCATGGCCTTGTGAACTTGGGCCATTCATGTAACCTCTCCAAGCCTCCTTTTCCTATGTAGATTGGCAAAAAATAGTATCTACCTTGTGGAACTGGGTATGTGTTTTAAGGTGCTCGGTATAGTGCCTGGCCGGGTCATTCTCCATTGTTACCTTGTATCAGAGTGCCCTGGAGGACCGGTTAAAACTGCTGGCTTTTGGACCACCAGATTGCATAATGGTTAAGTCACTGTACTCTCACGTGGCCGACCACGGCTCAAGTCCCGTACCTGGCGACTTGAAACTCAAGCTGGGCTCATGTGCATGCATGCCTAGGATCCCAAGAGGAGAATGGAAGAAAAGGGATTGCAGCGTAGTTATCCCCCCGGGGAGTGATTTCTCACTTTCTGTCTCTCTGTCTCCCCAGAAAGCACACACACCCTATAGCAAAAATAATCTCTCTCTTAAAATAAAAACAAAAACTATTGGCTTTAACCGGCACCTCCAGAATTCCACTTGGACAGGGCTGGAGTAGGACCTAAGAATTTTCATCGCTAGCACGTTAGGTACTGTAGGTTCAAAGACAACACTTTGAAAACTGATTTCAGTCTGGTAGTCACCTAATGCCAGCTGCTATTAATATGGGGATGGTTATCGGTATTGTCAGGGGCCCATGGGCGATTTATACCCCAGGGGGCCGGGGGCCACTCCCGGGAAGCTCGGATCCAGACACTGGAGCCTGACAACTGGATGAAGGAGGTGATGCTGTTTGGTCATGGCACCCGGAGGCGTGTCCCCCTGAGCAAGCTGGAACTGTGAGCATCCAAGGGCACAGGGCTCTTCAGCCAGGGTTCCCCGCACCCCCAGAGCCACCCCATGTGCACATCGTAATTCCCACCCTACCCCTACTGCATGAGCGCCAGCCCCTCATCAGCACGTCTTAGCGTAGGGGCTGAAGAATGGGAGAGGCACAGTCTCCTTTCAAAGGCTCCCTGATGATTTCTCTCTCAGGCTGGAGGAAGTCTTGGCCATGGGGCTACGCACCGATGTGGGGGTCACTCACCAGGTAAGGGGCTGGGGTCTCACACACCCCTCCTTCCTCCTAAGTCTTCCAGAGCCAATCTCTTGGCTTACTCCCTGTCCCCCATACACACACACACACACACACACACACACACACACACCTCCTTCTCTCGGAGGGTGTCAGTTGGGGGCTGGACCTGCTGGGTAGAAGCAGTTGGCAGTGTGGTACAGTAATAAGACTCTAGATTAGGGCTACAGAGACCCTAGGTTGTAATCCCTGTTTTACTGCAACCTTGGTCGCAAACCCTTTCACCTCTTTGAACCTGTTTTCTCAGCTCTGTGAGGGAGTAGGCAGGTGGGGTGGGCAGATACTTAAACAGCACTGGCCTTCAGAGAGGAAGGACAGTGTGTGTTGGTCAGTCAGACTCAGAGCTGCTCCACATTAAGCCAGGAAGCCCGGCTAGGGCTGGCCATACCCTGATGGTAGGAGGGGAGAGGGAGAGCAGGGGAGAAGAGGGGGACCTGGCTTGGGGAGCCGGGTTTGGCCTGCACGTGGTGGAATGGAAGCGAAGGTGCCCACGTCCCTGCTGGCCCACTGGCCTGGTCCTGGTGTGCTTGAGCGTCAGTCCCTGAGATCCCCCTGCTAGACTGACGTTGCCCCTCATCACACCTCAGCCGCTTGGCCCAGAGCAGCCTGGCCAGTGCCCCACCTCTGGGCCTTTTGCTTCCCCAGCACTGGCAGCAGTTCGAGCCCCAACTGACCCTGTGGGACGTGTTTGGAGCAAGCAAGGAGGTGAAGGAGCTGCTGGATCAGGGCCTGTTGCTGCTGGATCACAGGTGTGTTGGAGATGGTAGGCAGAGGGGACTTAGGGGCCCTTGGGAACCCTGGCTACAGGGTACACCCAGGAGAAGTGAGAAGGATTGGTGAGGCAGCGCCTGTGGGCACCGGGGGCTTGGTGCTCGGGGGATAAGGGCTGAAATTGGTAAGATGAGATGGTCACATCTAGGCCTCTCGGTTTTCCAGGGGTCTTCGGTGTTCCTGGAATGGTCTTGCTGTGCTGGACTCTCTATTGTTGACCCTCCTGCCTCAACTCCAAGAGGCCTGGCATCAGACATCCCCCTCCCCTGTGCCAGAAGGATGATGACCAGATGGTCCTGTATCCCAGGGCAATGCCAGCTGGGCTTTGGAGGGCTGGCCCAGCACTGCAGACACCTCTTCTGACAGGTGCCATCTCTGCTTCCAAGTGGCGCTGTCTGTCCCTAGCTTCCTCAGGGGAATGGCCAGCGTGAGAGTGACAGGAGGACGTTTCCGGTCTGGGAACCAGCATCCCCTGCAGCATGTCAGGCCCACAGACCAGCATGTCCCCTGCTAGGCACTGCTCATCCCCTCTGCCGGCTTCTGTTTGCCTTTTGGTTACCAAATCAGGAACAGTGTTTGGGACTCTTTTGATGGGAATGACCTCTCAAGAAAACCTCTTCATGCTGATCTGAAGTCCTGAGACAGCTGTATGAGTTGGGAAAACCAAATCCCCTCTAGGTACTTCAAGCAGGATGGGATTTAATACAGGAGCGAGGCATTTACAAAATCACAGAGAGGGTGAGCCATGAGTGTCAGAGGAAGCCTCCGCCCACTGTCTAGAAGTCAGAAAGTCGCGAGGGCATGGGACGCCTCTGCCGACGGTCTCAGCTGCTGGCAGCACAGACGCAGATGGTTGACAGGAAAACGCCCTGGCCATGCTGCAAAACGCAGTGCTCACTGCCTGCCGCAGGCCCCAGCTGTGCCCTGCACTGCTGGAGAAGGGGCAGTGGCTTCTGCAGGTGCCTCTCATTAGGGGACTTTAAAGCACATCCTAGCTGGCAGGAGGTTCTGGAAGATCGTCTCAGGCTTCTAGCCCCTGCAGGTACAGGAGAACATGAAAGGCCTGACGTCTCTCTCTAGCACGGCCGCCTGCTGGACCCCGAGAACGGGGAAGATCAGAGAAGTCTTGCCCCTGCTGTTCTGGCTACCTGTCAGGATACATTTGGGGTGGCAGGAGCCACACATGCTCCTGAGGGGCCACGCCCCCCCCCCTTCTCCCTGTATCCTTTCCATTGAGAGAGGGAAGGTGGGCAGGGAAAGGAGAGGGGAGAACTCAGGAAAGACCCAGAGCACTCGACATCCTCCATTGTCCTTGTACCTGCAGACATCGCCACATGGTGCTACTTCAATAGCCTGGCGCCCCGTCTGGAGGCTGTCTTCACTCTGGTCCGCTTCTTTGTCCCAGCTCCTTCCCAGAGTGGAATCCTGATCTGGGGACTGGAAGCTTAGCCTAGGGCTATGGTTCCTTCCCCCCACGCCCTGCATTTTATTTGGAAAGATTTCAAACCTTGAAAGTTGAAGGGAACAGTTTGATGGAAGCCCTACATCACTCATCTGCAGTGTGTGTAACGTCCAGAAATGGGCAGATAGTCATCAAGCACTCCTTCAGCTTATAAAAATTCCAGCAGCCAAGGGCCAGTCCTGTAGCACAGCCATCAAGTGAAAGATGAAGAAAGCCGGGTCCCACACAGACCACCTGGTTTGAATCCCAGCCCCAGAGGCTTGAGAAACACAGAAGGGCGTGGCCAGGATCATGATGGGGTGGAGGGATGGAGGCAGGAGGATGGCTGTGTGACCATGCCCCATGGGGCGCTTTCTCTCGTTTGCTCGCGCTCTGACACATGCACGTGCCCTCTGACAATTAAAGAAAGACTTAAAGTCTTAAAATAGCCGTGTTTCCAGACTTTGTGGTCACCCTCTAGATTTATCAGTTGTTAAATTTAGGCTACATTACTTCATCCTTCCATAGAGAGAGGTGAGTGTGTGTGTGTGTGTGTGTGTGTGTGTGCATTCTTCCTATTTATTTATTTTGCTAAATCGTTTGAAAGTTGTACACATGAAACATTTAAGCTTGTTTCTCCCAGGGAAAGAAAAGAAAAACAGATTCCTATATAGCCTCAGGGGCTTTAAAGCCCAGGAAAGTGGTTTTTTTTGGCTATAGGGCATGTGCACTCGCCAGAAAGACAGACAGAGACAGAGAGACAGAAAGCAAGAAATCACCCCCGGAGGGATGGCCACGCTGCAGTCCCTTCTCCTCCATTCTCTTGAGATCTTGGGCATGCACGCACACACGCACACACGCCAGGCATGAGCACAAGCCACCAGGTCTGGGACTCGAACTGTGGTTAACTACGTGGGAGTCCAGCGACATAGCCATTATGCTATCTGCTGGTCCTGGAAGGTGAATATTAATGCAGTGATATGCAGTCTATTTTAAAATTTCCCCAAATGTCTTCAAAGCTTTTTTTTTTTTTTTTTAGTTTCTTTCTTTCTTCTGTAAGTGAGAGTCAGAGACAGGTACCCCCAACACTGTCTTCATGCCGTGGTCTACCCTTAGTCTCAGCCAGCCCTGAATCTTGGACATACATGGCGGGAGTGTTCAGGGAGGTCTCTGGCATGAACCTAGACCCTTGCCTGTGAGTTAACCTTGCAGGGCATTGTGGTGCTACGCTCCTGTCTAGTCCTGTAAAACAAAACTCTTTGTTCTGGAGGGGGTGGTGGTGGTGGTACATTTTCCAATGAAATGTTATGCTTTGCTTTTGATTGTTATGTCTCTAGTTTCTTTTAAAACAGACTTTTCTGGGACTAGCCCTGGAGCCTAGTGGCTAAGGGAGCTGGTTTCCTAACCATGGTTTGAATCCTAGCCCCAGCAGCTTGAAAAACACACCAGGGAGACCAGCAGTTAGCATAATGGCTATGTCGCTGGACTCCCATGTAGTTGACTGCGGTTCTAGTCCTGGACCCGGTGTGAGCCCAAAATCCCAAGAAGAGAATGGAGGAGAAGTGATTGTGGCATGGCCATCCCCCCTGGGGGGTGATTTCTCGCTTTCTGTCTTTCTGTCTCTCTTTGTCTGTCTGGTGAGTGCACGCACCCTATAGCAAAAACCTCTCAAACAAAACAAAAACAAAAACAAAAACAAAAACACACCAGGCATGTGTGAGTGCTTGCCCCAGAGCCTAACAGGAGGGAGGAATGGAGGAGGGGTTGCAGCACGTTTATGCCCCATTGAGGGGGTGCTTTCTCCTTTCTCTGTCTTTGTCTCTCTCGAGCGAGCACACACACCCTCAATTTTTCAAAACAATTTTAAGCCCCTTTCTATTTATTTCAAAAAATAGCACTGAACTTTTCCATCAAGGCCACTTACCCTGTAGAATGTCTCACGTTTTGGTTGTGCCTGACTGTTTCCTGATGTTTGGCCTCAGGTTGAGTATTTTCAGTAGGAGTACTGTGTAGGTATGTGTTTCTCAGGGTATGTTATGCCACGGTGGCCCATTACCAATTATGCTGGTTTTGATCAGTCGTTTAAGGGGGTGGACACCCAGTCTCTCCACTATCAGGTACATATTTTTTTCCCTTGAAGTTAGGTAGATTATCATCTGTGGTATGATACCTTGAGACAAATGAATGCCCTGTTCTTTGATAGTAATTTGCCCAGTGATTTTGGTATACATTGATGATCCTTGCCCATATCAATTATTTACTATTTATTTATAATTTGCCATAGGGTGCATGTGCTCACTGAAGAGAGACAGAATCCCCTGGGGGATGGCCATTCTGCAATTCCTTTTCCATGCTCCTCGGGATTTGGGGCATGCATGCCCATGCACCCTGCGTTTTTAGGTCACCGGGTCCAGGACTTGAACCATGCAATTGGTCGTGTGGGATCCATCTACCTTAACTACCATGTCACCAGCTGGCACACAAATTGATTCTTAAATTAGGGTCTGCACAGTGTTCATTTCTGACCCTATTGTTTCTTCTTCATGCGTTAACTGGCATTTAACCCTTAAAAAAAAAAAAAAAAAAAAAGTTTCCCAGGGCTGGGTGGTAGTGCAGCAGTAAAAAAAAGAGGCTCTGTAAGTTTGACCCACATGGGAAGGTTCCAGATTCAAGTCTGCAGACCTCCCTGAGGAGGTCAGGCATGTGCGTGCCTAGAATCTGGAGCTGACTGAGCTGAATCTGGCATTGTATCAGAGGGTAAAGGTCCTGATTGGGTGCTGTTTCTCTCTCTCTCTGTCTCTGTCTCTCTGTCTCTCTGTCTCTCTCTTACTCATGGAAAAATAAACTTTATTTATTTTTTTTTAAAAAGAAAACTTTCCTGTGTTTCGAAGGACTGATGTCTTGTCCTGGAAATTGTGTTTAGGGTGTGTGTGTGTGTGTGTGTGTGTGTGTGTGTGTGAGAGAGAGAGAGAGAGAGAGAGAGAGAGAGGAGAAACGCATTTTCCCAGGACAAGGTTCCTAACTTTTTTTCATCATTATTTTATTTCTTTTTTTAAAAAGAATTATTGTATTCAATTCCATTTATTCATTCACTTATTTTAATTTGACCAGAGAGAGATACAGAGAAAGAGAGAGAGGGAAAGTAAGAAAGCAAGCCACCAAGTCCAGGACTCGAACTGTGGTTGGCCATGAGGTTGTGTCCTGTGCCCTAACTACCACGCCACCAATTATTATTTTCTTTTCAATTTTGCTACAGAGCACATATGCTCACCAGAAAGAGACAGAGAGAAAGAGGGAAAGTGAGAAAGCAAGCCACCCAGGACTTGAACTGTGGTTGGCCATGTGGGAGCCCAGCACCCCAACCACCGTGCCACCTGCTGGCCCCAAGGTTCCTAACTTTCATGCTTTGTCATGTCAGAGGGTGCCTTTTATGTAAGTTGCCTCCAACGTAATTTACCTAGTAGTAGCCCTGCAAATTGAGACATGCTGAGTTCATCCTCCAGCCGGGACAGGACGGAGGGTGTGGTTCCCCTACTCTCAGAGGTGAGCACGTGCCTTTTCCGGGTGCCCCGTGGGTGTGAATATCAGCCCTTCCTTGACCCTGTGGTAACATGGTAAGTGTCACTACCTCTCCTTTATTCATGAAATATTCAGTGAGCACTCATAATACACAGGCACTCGGAGAGGCCTGCGACCTGTCCCAGCCCTCGAGGAACTCAGCACCATGTTGATAGATGTTCAAAGAGATAAGCTCTGGGTTGTCAGTCAAGGTGTGCAGGCAGGCCGGGGGATTCTGGAACACATTTGGTTCCGCAGGGCCAGGAACAGGAAAGGGGGATATGTTTCTGTTACCACCTTCTGTGCCCCTGGTGTCCTGGGAAGCCGGCTGACCTGTGCTGCTCCAGGAGCCTCTTCCAGAGCCATCCCCTGATCTTGATACTCGAGTGAGCCTGGCCAGAGCAGGTGTGCCATCAGATAACCGGGGCCCACTCGGGTTTCTCCCAGCTGCCAGGACTCGTGCCACCTGAGATGCCGGGCCCTCCCTGCTGTGCATAGGGACTGGATGGGGGCCAGGTGGGGGTGGCAGAGCACACAGGCACTCAGCCTGCCCCACCTGCACCAGATGAATCAGAACCTTCGAGAGGTGGGGCTCAGGAATCTAGTTTTTAAAAGCTTCCAAAACAGCTCTCATGATCAGTCCAGTTTAGGAAGGCTGGAGTCAGGAGGAAAGAGCAGGTCACAGCTACCTCCAGGCATGGCAAAGTGGGAGCTGGGTCCTTCCCTCTGCACCGCAGCCCTCCTCTATCCATGGAGGCTCATCCATCATAGGGCTTCTCCTCCTCTAGTTTGGGACTTCAGAAATCACCTTTTCACCGGCACTGCCCAGACCCAAGAGAGTGAAGACTGACTTTGGTGTTAAGGTGATGAGAGGAGTGGGGACATACAATATGTATGGTTATAGCCCGAAGGACCCCACTTGCCACAGGCAAGAACGCTGACGATGCTAAGGCCCCACAATTATGCCACGCCCCTCCCAGGCAGTGTGGAGTAGGCAGGGCAGTTAATTTCCAGCCTACAGATGGGGACATTCAAAGATGTTCTTTAACTGGATTCAAGTCCTATACGTAGCAAGTAGCAGACCTGGCGTGACACTTCTGGGCGCCTAGCACTCTGTCCCATCAGCGTTTTATTATTATCGTGGGCCCAGGTTCATTGGCCTGCAGACTTCGGATCTCTCTGTGGCCCCCTCTTCAGACTTGAGCCACCATATCTGCCTGGTGCTTGGACTCAGCGTCAAGAGGCTCTGAAAGAACCCACAGCACCCAGGCCCCATCTCCATGGGACCTTGCGCTTCCTGGGATGGAACTGCATTCTCGAGGCCGGGCACACAGGAAAGGTCCTGGGTTAGAGCCATGAGGCGTTCCTGAACATGCCAGGAATGCACATGTGTCCAGGATTCTGGGCCGCCCAAGTCAGGGTGGATCACGGTGTGGGGCCTCATTGGGGGTGCCTCTCTCATGGAAGTAAATTAGTGAATAAACTTCTAAAAAAATGTGTTCTCTTATTCTGTTCTAAAAAAAAAAAAAAAAAAAGAATTTTAGAGTATAGGATGAAACAACGTGTGGCAAATTGTATGATTGTTCAAAACGCTTGCTCCGCCTCCCCGAAGCGCTCCTCCGTGTGGGAAGGCGGTGGGAGGAGGCCGAGAAGCTTGCCCAGCTCTGGTTGTAAGAGCTGGTAGGTGGTCCACCGCCTTGTGCCTCCATCACAGTGACCTGCAGTGTTGATAGACTGTTTTGTTAACCTGGGTCCCAGAGTGAAGAAGATGTTGGGCAGCTGGCCACCTAGACAGGAACAGGAGAGAGAAATGACCATTTGCTGTTGTAAACCAGTTTGCTTTGGGCTGTTGGATACTGCAGCATGACTGAGACGAATTAAGGAATCCTA